TTGATGAAATCACTGTTATATCCTAGTCTAACTTAACAAATATTTTTTGTTCCGAATTGTTTGTGTTTTTGTAAAAAAGTTACTTCCACTAGAATCTTTCGTATTCAAACTTATTCGTTTTAAAATGGGTTTTTATAAAAATGTTAAAAACTCTGGTCCATTTCCGAATAACATTGATATGCCAGGGTTCCATAGTCATTATTTTGTTAATTGTGTTATTTAATTTCATTTAATTTATAACAAATTTGTAAAATAAAATTGAAAATTGTCAAGAAAACATTTAAAGAATTTGGTCCTGCAAGATCCGCAAATAAAATCTTGATATGTAAAAATAGTTTATATATTAATTCCCCGTCATACACATACAATTTTGGCGAAATACTGTAACAAACAGCCAATTTCTGTTCAAAGCAATGGGTCTCCTCCTATCATTTTTTTGACAATTTCATTTGTATCTTTTCGGCAAAAAAAAAAAAAAAAAAACAAAAATACAAGGGGAAAAATCTTTATTGTGTTTGTCACTCACTATGCAACTCACAATACAAGTAAGCAAAGGTTATAGTAGGGTGGGTCCGAACATTTGATTTTTCGGTTTTTGGGCCATTTTGCCATCATCTTCCCCAACAATGGGCCATCCTGAACCTTAACCCCACATCAATATAACATTTCGTGAGGAACGGACCATAATTACAACCTTTAGCGTGATTATATTTTAGCATTGAGAGACAAATATACATCGACTCAGCTCGGCGATATAGGAAGATCCATTTATAACATTCTATGTGCAGGAGTAATATTTCGAAGTGTTACATAATTGTTGGTCCAATCACGCTTATAATATATATTGTGATACGAGTATATATCATTTGATACGGCAAAAACGTGCCTCGTCGAAATAACGATTTCAGACCCTTGGTGCCTTTAGACCCTATCCGGACATTTGGAGTAGATCTAGGGTGTCCGTCCGTCCGTTTGTGTGTCTGGAGCGCACTATAACTCTCGAAGGGAGTATCTGATCGTAATATTATTATTAATTGTCTCAAATTTCGTAAATGATAATCGTCTAGCCCACATACTTTCCTATATTCGCTATTTTGATGATTTTACCGACGTTACTCAAGGGACCTGTTTTAGGTATCGTACTTCAAGATCGGTACCAATGCCAAGAACTACCAATGCAGGTCCTCGTCTTCGTATATATCGGGTTCATTTTAAACGGTGCTTTTCGACGAAATTTTTTTACAATTTTTCAATTTCCTTGCAAATTTTGACTTGACTCTTTGGACCAAATCCGTTCTAGAACATTTGGAGTGGATCCAGCGATGCTCGTGCGTCTGTCTGTCTGGCTGGTGTGCACGATAACTATCGAAGGGAGTATCAGATTTGGTCCAATCTTGGTACATAGTAATATTTTTGTCAAACTTAAATCGAGTTCGGAGATGGGCAATGTCGGTTTATTCCTTCTGGTACCTCCCCCACAAATGCTCGAAATTTTCAAAAAATATATTTTCTGCACAGAAAGAGAAACCATAATCCGATTTTGCTCCAACCTTGCAAATCCAAATATTTGCGTCAGTGCTAGGTAAGGTGCCAAGTACCAAAATTTTGATTAATTAAAACTCTTATAAAATGTGATGTAGGAGTCCGATTGTCTTCAAATTTCACATATCCCAATATTTTTATTAACCCAAGGTCTGATCGGCCCACTCCTTCTGGTACCTCCCCGCAAAGGGTCAATGCTTTAAAACGCCAAATTTACATCCGTTTTCATTCGGATATGGTGCATCTAAATATTTCTATCATCACAGGATATGTTATAAAGATGGGTTATATTGGTCCACTCCTTCTGGTACCTACCCTCCAAAGGGTCAAAATTGTTAATATCCATGAAGCTCATAAAACCCCGACTTAACTTCCTTTTCCATTCAGACTTGGTACATCTGAATATTTGCATTAACACAAGATCTGTTATGAAATGGTAGAGATCGGACCATTTCTTCTGGTATCTCCCCCACATGAGGTTCAAGATTTAGATAAACAAAACGTTTAAAGAAAGCGAGATAAACATCCAACTCTCTTCAAATTAAATACAAATTACACTAACACAAGATCTGTTGTGAAGATGATATATATCTGCGAACCCCTTCTGGTACCACACCCTCAATGGATCCCAATATTCAATACTTTTATCAAAACTTGCGAAACAAGTCAGCCATTCGTTCCAATTTTTTGCTCCAACCTTGCAAATCCAAATATTTGCGTCAGTGCTAGGTAAGGTGCCAAGTACCAAAATTTTGATTAATTAAAACTCTTATAAAATGTGATGTAGGAGTCCGATTGTCTTCAAATTTCACATATCCCAATATTTTTATTAACCCAAGGCCTGATCAGCCCACTCCTACTGGTACCTCCCCGCAAAGGGTCAATGCTTTAAAACGCCAAATTTACATCCGTTTTCATTCGGATATGGTGCATCTAAATATTTCTATCATCACAGGATATGTTATAAAGATGGGTTATATTGGTCCACTCCTTCTGGTACCTACCCTCCAAAGGGTCAAAATTGTTAATATCCATGAAGCTCATAAAACCCCGAATTAACTTCCTTTTCCATTCAGACTTGGTACATCTGAATATTTGCATTAACACAAGATCTGTTATGAAATGGTAGAGATCGGACCATTTCTTCTGGTATCTCCCCCACATGAGGTTAAAGATTTAGATAAACAAAACGTTTAAAGAAAGCGAGATAAACATCCAACTCTCTTCAAATTAAACACAAATTACACTAACACAAGATCTGTTGTGAAGATGATATATATCTGCGAACCCCTTCTGGTACCACACCCTCAATGGATCCCAATATTCAATGCTTTTATCAAAACTTGCGAAACAAGTCAGCCATTCGTTCCAACTTGCTATATGTAGATATTTCTCTCAACCATAAACGTGAGATGAATAAGGAATTTATGATTTCGCTTAGAAATGGATCGATTTTCTTGTAATTTTGTCATAGAAGATGAAGTATGAAAATGGAATGCTTTGGTTGACTACATCTGGTACCACACGCACATTTACACATTTTCTAAAAATTATCACATATCTCATATAAAGTGAAGGAAGTTACCAATATAGTCCAAACTTGGCACGTCTCAATATTTATATTATATATTATATAGGCCATTCGGGGTCAACAGTTTGAATAATTATAAGACAAGTCAAAATATAATCAAACATAGGCCGAGGGTACACATCTGTCGGCAAAACCGCCTGATATTTTTTTTACTTGTTTTTAGACTAAATTCGGTCGTACGTGTTTAAATTAATTTATGTTGGACATGCATTACGCTTTAGATGCTAAGTAAAAGTGAAATCGGGAGTGAAATGTATATGGGAGCTATATCAATACCTCGTCCCATTATCAGCAATAGTGTTCGTCCTTGAGCCAAGCAACTGAACGAAAAGCTAAATTTCATCGCAATCGAATAATAGATACGACCTGTACTTTGCATACAAAAGTACATGGACAGACGGATGGGCATGCATAAATCGACCTAGAATGTAATTCAATGAAGACCATCTGAAAATTGGAATACCGAAAGTATTACGGCATACTATGTTGAAATATTTTTATTTCATATTTTTTCATTTTTTTATATTTATTTATTATTTTTTTATTTATTAATTTATTACTATTATTATTTTTTTGTAGCAAAGAATTCAAGTTATCAGCAAAAGCAGGAATATTTTACTGTGGCAACAGTAACAAAAATATCGTTGAGCTTCTATTTTTGTCACTTGTTTTGTTGAGCTTTACTACCATTACTTAGGAATTAACCAGATTTTTGCGAAAGGTAGGTTTTTTAAATAGCTGCAATAAAAAATGATGACTTATGAGGATTGATGGATCTTTCTGACGCCGTATTTATTCCTACTATATTAAATAAACGCAATGTAATTAAGCGTAACTATCTTTATCACTAATTAATTTAAATTATATTTAAATTATATTTTAAAATTGCTATTTAAAATACTTTTTTATTTTAACCATACATCATATACTCATTAGTTTTTATTTCCTTAATTATGACATTCGCATTAGTAACCTATATGTGGGAGATTAAAGGCGCACGGCTCATATAACTGCGTCTTCTCAAATAACCATTAGGTTACGTGATATTATGCAATTTAGGGAGATGAATGCTTGGATGCACCGCACCTGATGCATGCATGTGCATTTAGTGCGGCTGCGCAGCCCACTGATGATGACTGACTGATACACCTATTAACACAATTTACCAAGTCAAAACATCGTATCACACATGCTCGCATTCCCTTTGTGGACAACAAAAAAAAAACAAGCGATTGTCAATGAGTTCAAAAAAAAAAAAAAAAATTAATAAGTCTCCGCTGGTGAACTGACCTACAGCAACATACAAAAAAAAAATACTGTGAGTGTGCTATTTTCCCTATTCACTTATCAACAACGTAGTATCTGTAGGTATGACAGACTGGTTGACTGTCATGCAGACAGCCAGTCCACATGAAAATGTTTGTATTTGCTTGCCCTCTCCCCCTCTGTCTCTCATCGATTTGGTAATACTCGTCGTAGCCCACAACAATCCAGCGAATATGAAAACAAAACAAAAACCAAGCTAATAAATGTAAACAAAAAGCAAACGAACCACTAAAACCAAACTCGTTATGTACTGGAGCGCGCCGTGAATAAAGTCTCCAAATAAAATTTAATGTTTTCCCCCATTTCCATGTATGGGTGAGTATCTGTGTGGAAATATCTATAATATTATAGTTGGAGGGGGAAAAAAGTCTACAATGAATCTATGAACGACGATTTTTGGGAGCGAGTACATGGAGACTCATGTCTGGGAATTCACTTCTTCAGTCGTCGTTGTTGTCTACAACTGCCTTTAAGTGGTTCATTATACGCTAATACAATTGTTGCTGTTGTTGTCCATGGAATTGCCAGCCACTTAAGTCAATGAGACTGCCTGACTGACTGACGGACATTTGGCGGTCGCTGTTGGAGCGCATGCGCAGCGTATGCTATTTTTTTGCTGGTTTGATTTGATTTCTTATGCGGTAGTAACTTTAGTTCTGTTTCGAAGTTAGAAGTGAACGTGCGCGTTTTAAGTTAAAAGCTTTTTTAAGAGCCAGCCTATTGAGTGGAGATTTTCTGTCGTGAGCGAGAAGTGATAAAAAGTATGTCATCACATCAAATGAAAAGCTAATTTATGTTTAACTCTTAAGAGTGGGAAAATAAAGTTGCATCACAGCGTGGCGATTAAAAGATTTGATCGAAAGTTTAGGTGTGTGAGAGGCGTTCAGTATTGATATGCATATGCCTGGAGTGGTGGTGCAGTAAAAGTGCAGTGAAAATAGAAAACAAAACGAAAAAAAAAAATAAATAAAATTCAAATTGTGCAATGCTTTCGAATGTTTGTTAGCTTTTGAATTGTTGTTGTGTTTTTTATTGTGCATTGGTGTCGTGTTTATTTTACAAATTTTGTTTTTTTTTTCTGCTTCCAAATGCAATTGTGTTTTTTTCGTTCCGAAAAAAAAACGAGAAAAATATAAATATTTTTATTGTGAATTAAATGGCAATAAAGTGAGAAAGGCACACGCAAATGAAATGGTGAAAATACAAAAAAAATATTCTTCATTGAAAACGTTATTACCTCGATGAAATGGATATTAAATTAAACGATTTATTTGTATGTATAATAATTTTAAAAATAAAACAATAATTCGTGGGAGTATGATATGTTAACTTTTTAACCAAAATATTAAGGTTTATATAGTTTACTTTGAACAACGTTATAGCAGAGCCAATAATTGATATTCTATATTACCAATTGAAAAATGAAAGTTATCCTGTAAAAATTCTTGTTGCATTTTGACATTAAAAGTCTTGATTGAAAATATAAAAATAACAATTTGGTAGTCGTTACTGCTAGTATTAGATTTTTAAATAATTTTTCGATTAAGTCTGAATCTACTATAGAGTAACAGTATCGCGAGTTATTGATCCCACACAATTTTTTTAATTAAGACTTTTACAGATTAAAGAGACCATAGCAAAAGCTATAGTCGGGAGAGGCCGATCATGTTGCCATATCCCACCATAATTTGGGGCAGAGTTTTCATAGATCTGAAATACTTGTGACTACACTGAACGAATCCTTTAAGATATTTGTATATATAGTATTATTACATAAAAATTATTAGAAATACCATTTTTAACAGTTGGATTTTGATTTGAAGCAATTTTTTTTTAGACAACTACGTTTGCTAAAAGAAAACTTTATGTTTATTATGCATATGCCAGTTTATAGCACATGCCACTATTAAAATAATGCCTTATACAGGGTGAGATACAAAAAAAAAACTGCAACAAAGTCGAACGCCATAATTTTTACATTTTTTTAGATTTTGTTGTTGCAAAACATTTTATTAAATGAAAGCAAAAAATGATCAACTTTTAGAATAAGTTTAGATTTGACTCGAATTATGACCTTCAAACGGCCGATGAAAACGTCACACGCTGACCGAATGTTGCTTTGCGGTATTTTGGTCCATTCCCGGAGAAGCGCTTGCTTGAGGTGATCGATACTTTGGTATTTTTTTAGTGCCAACCTTGCTTTACAAAATACTCCAGAAATAATAGTCCAATGGATTGGTATCCGGAGATTTTGGTGGTCATTGTGAGCTGGAAATGTAGCGAGGAACCTCATTTTGTAACCATTCATGGGTGGCGCGTGCTGAGTGCGATGATGCTGAGTCCTGTTGGAATGTCCAAGGTCTATGACCAATATGATTGCGTGCCCAAGGTTTTAATAAAGTCTCCAGAATATTTACGCGATAATATTCGTCATTTATTCTGATGCCACGGTCGATTAATTCGAACGGAGAATGGCCATCGGCTGTTATGGCAGCCCACACCATGGCCGGCGATTGAGTTCTGGTGGCCAACCAAAGGTGCACATTTTCAGCTGTCCTCTTTGTCAAGTAAATACGATCATTTTGTTTGTTTACAAACTGCTAGACAAAGAACGTTTTCTCATCGAAGAAAACTAAATTCAACAGTTTACCACTTTCGGGCAAGCGAAGCGGTGTAAGTTCTTGCACTTTTTGGAATTTCAATGGCTTTACCCCGAGTTTATTTTTCAATATTTGCCGAGTGGAATATTGTGCGGGTTTCGATAAAGTCGCTTCTTTACTTTTCGAACCATTTCTGATGATATTGCAGTTTTCTTCCGTGAAGTCTGGCAACGCTAGCAGTATCACGGTATCACGCTTAAATTCCATCACGAAGAACTTTTTCCTGGAAAATTCCCACCAAAAAGATTTTGTACGCTTGTAAACAGTATAATAAGCTGTCACTGGAATAATTTGTACAGCTGTCGGACGAGTGGCTTATAAATGACAGCAGTCTAAGATGGTTGCAGTTTTTTCATCTCACCATGTACTCATGCAAAAGGCTAATATTGACTTTTGACCGGAACCACAATTGTCCTATGTTTGTGCCTTATTTCGTGCTAATGGGAACTAGAAACAATTAAAAATGTTTCTAAATTCTATCTCCATGCCAATTTCCGAGTCAATTTATCTACAATTATTACCTGTAGAGCTAATGCCAAATCAGAAAAAAAAAAACAAGTTAAAAGTATCAATTAGTTATGCTTACAGAAGTATTCCCTCCAACTTTATGCCAGAAAGATTGTGTCGAAAGGTCATAAGCCCACCAGATCTTATGTATGTGGAAGAAGTGATTATCTTCCATTTTGTGGGACTAAAAGGTATTCAAAAATTTGACCTCTTGCGGGGGAGGTATCAGAAGGAATGGTTCGACAAATCCCATATTAACATCAGATGTCAAATATTGAGCTGAACATTGAATTATTTTGCATGTTATAAAGGTCAAAAATTTGACCCTTGGTTGGGCAGATACCAGAAAGAGTAATCTGATATATCACATCTTCCAACCACACCTTTAAAGGCAGTCGGACTCTAATTTCCCACTTTGTAAGAGTCATGATTGCTCAAAATGTTAACCCTTTGTGATGGAGGTACTAGATGGAGTGTGCCGATATTATTCATTTCTGCGCTTGATGTTATATTTGGATTTGAGAAGTTTGAAAAAAACGGGTGATCTCTCTCTTTCCATGAGGTACATTTTTTTCCTTAAAAATCTTGATCCTTTGTTTGTGCTAATCTCCAAACTCGATCGTCATTCGAGAGTTATGGTGAGCACTAGCCAAAAAGATGGAAAGACGGACACCGTATCAAATGATATATACCCTCTGTAGCCCTTTATTGAGGATATTTTAAGTTTTGGTCAATTTCATCACCTAAATATATGCAATCATCCCAATAAATGAGTCTTCCATTCTGACTATGATGATCGGACAATGGAGTACACTGCAGTAATTACAATATGGCATGGATACATGGACGGACAAACATAGCTAGATCGATTCGGTTTGTCGAGATATAATAATCGGAGGGTCTAAAACAGTTATTTCGAAGTGTTACAAATTTTGACCCAATAAAAACCCCAATATCTGTAGATAACGTTGGGTGTACTTGTAAGTTGAGAACTTCAACCTTTAACCCTCCTTGCAATAATATGTTCTGTTTACTGTAAAATCAAAAACGCGTCTTAAAGCAAATTCCGATTTAAATAAACATAAAAAACCGAAAATACTTTTTTTTGGAGGTGGCTACGAACTTATAAGAACCTTCAAATTCAAAATTCCAGACAATTCCGTTGAAAAATGTACCGGAAGTCGTAAAAATGCTTAAAATGAAGAGTACCGTTATATGGGGGCTACATGAAAAGTTGCCCGATATAGTCCATATTGGTCTAAGTTCAGACCCAAAACGCATCTGTACCAGATCCCACTTGAGCAAAAATCTCAAATCTCGGAATATATTCAAAACCCAGGGATCTGAATCCCCCCATATAAAAAATTCTTGATGGGTAGAATTTGATAATTTGAATTATGACCAAGAATAACATTTCCAGATAGTTGATATTTACAACCGCACTTGCGACTTGGTTATGAATTACGTTCAAATTAAGTGGAGGGCATAATTAGACCCTGCTGGCCAAAATTAACGCTTAAAAACTAGTTTTCTTACAAATAAATAAATATATCTTAATTTTTCATTTTCGAACCCCCCAACATCTTACATCCCGTTATTTGCTTGCCTTGCCGTTGAATATGTTTAAGTCCACTGCTTACTAGGTATTTAATTTTTTTTATTAAAATTTCCAATTAAATACTTATTTCAGCAAAGAACCAACTTTGTGGTTTGTCCATTCTAATGTTAAAAAAACCTACTTTTTACGGTCAAGCATATATTAAATAATAATATTTTTTGTGTTTTTTTGCTAAATAGTTACAAATATACATATTAAGTTGAACGTGTTTTAGTTGTTGTAGATAACCCTGACCCACATTATATCTGAAACAATGCAAAAGCACAACAATACCACAACCCTCACCACCACTTTGGTACTTTGTTCATCGACGTTTTTATGGTTCAAGCACTTAAGGCAAAAGTTCAACATTTTAACATAAGTGAGTCTTTTTTTTTTCTCAAGAAAATCACAATAAAAACAGAAATAAAAAAATCTACTTCACATATCGCACTAATAACGCAAAGTACATAAAAACGCCTCAAAAACCGTAAAAACAGATGAAAACGTTTACAACATTTAAACGATGTCTTACACTTGCTAGCTCGCTGGCTGGCTTGTTTACTTGCTAACTACAGCAGCGGGGAGAGAACGAACAAATTCCAAAGTATTTCCCAAGTTGTTTAAAATAAAAATTTGAACATTAAAACTGAAAATCTCATCGTTTTACCTGCACTTGCTGTTGGCGGTCGTCAGCAACCAGGTCTTCATAATTCTTTAGATTGTTGTCAACAAGCGATTGCGACTAAATCAGGTGGTGCTACTGATGCTCATTCAGTCAGTCATTCATTCATTCCCATCACAGCCAGCGTCAAGGTAAACGAGATGCTGTGTTTACCATTTGACTCAGTACTGAATTTGGGTTAATACACCAACCAACCAACCAGCCAATCAATATAGCCAATATCTTTCAATCTAACCATCTGTTTGCATACACAGATTTCTATATGTATGGACAAGTATGTAGATATGTGCAGCACGGTCTTTAACTATATTT